ATATATATATATATATATATATATATATATATATATATATATATAAACTGAGGCAGCACGGTGGCGCAACTGGTAGAGCTGCTGCCTCTCAGCGAGCAGGTCCTCGGTTCAAACCCCGGTCCAGGGGCCTTTCTGGGTGGAGTTTGCATGTTCTCTCCGTGCATGCGTGGGTTTTCTCCGGGTACTCCGGTTTCCTCCCACAGACCAAAAACATGCATGTTAGGCTGATTGGTAACTTTAAATTGTCCCTAGGTGTGAGTGAGAGAGTGAATGGTTGTTTGTCTTGTTTGTCTCTATGTGTCGCTGTGATGGACTTGCGACCCGTCCAGGGTGTCCCCCGCCCCTCGCACAGTGATTGCTGGACATGGGCACCAGCGACCCCCGTGACCCAAAATGGAATAAGCGGGTAAAGATAATGGATGGATATATAAACTGAGGCACTTGAAGGGAGTGGAGAAACTGAGCAGTACCTGGCAGTGAAATGTACAGGAGCAGAGACACTTCTTTCAATAAGAAATATATTTTATAATCCATCCATCTCTCAAGACCAACAATACAACATTATAAAGAATTTGCGTGCTTGGTTCCACTTTCTGAATCCACTTATGTTTATTTATTCAGTTCTATCAATTATATCTGATTTTTTTTTATATATATATATATATTTCTTGTGTAAAACTGGACATTTAATTATTATTTTTTTAATTAATCAACTTCTCTTTTTCTTCAGTGTTACCAGCCAAACCATTACCATCTGGTAAGTACCATTTCAAACTTTTGCTCATTTTTTTCCCCTCTCTCTTTGTGCTGATCATCATGTACATTTCCAGCGTCCCCAAATGTTGGATCAACTCCTGATCGAGGTCGCACAGCTTTGGTGGTCGTGTTAGTCATTGCTGGACTTGCAGCAGGGACGGTCATTGCCATCTTCTTTCTCAAGAAGTCTGGTCGTTGCTCACCCATTTATAACAGGTTAACTAACTTTGACAACCCACTTTTCTTTGGACACAACCAGTCACAGCCTGGTTTGGTGGATCACAATACACTGGTAGAAAATGCAGATGAAGATAACACTCAACCTGTGATAACTATATAAATTAAAAACAGAAAGTAAGTGAAAGCATTTTGTATACAGAGCTTGTGGTTCTGGTCTATTGGTCTAATGATCTGAAACAAATTCAGCAAAAAAAGGATTTCCTGGAAAAACTAATGCAAAAGTTAATGAATTGCAAATTATAAAACTTTCTTTTGCTTCATAATTTATCAAACTACTTTACAAATTCTGAAATGCATGTTCTGCAGCTAAAAACATTGACTAAATGATTTTCAAAATGTTGAAACAGCATAAAGCTTTTATTCTCTCTTTTCTAAATGCCACAGCCAGCCAGTAATCTTGAGCACTCACAAGCTTTTTATTTATGATATTGACTGAATCAAGTTCTACAATCTTCAAAAAAGCCACTAACATGTTTTATATATTATGATTTTCATTAACAAAAATAAATATTTTTAAATTACCGTTGGCATTCAAATCACTTACCTGTATTTGTTTATTACTATTATGACTTTACCTGACAGACAAGGGTCAAGCTAAAAATGTAAGCATGTGAAACTTAATATTTTAGATGTTCATTATTTTTCATCAGTGATGACTTGTTTTTCTAAAACTCATTATGTAATTAAACACTATACAGTTTGTTTTTTGGTAGGAGAAATGTGTTTTTTCATTTACTCAGTGATGTATTGACATTAAATAGACATTAAATTAAAATTGTCTTCTGAGATGTGAAATTGTAAAAGATGCTCATTGTAATGTTTAACATTCTAGATGCTAAATATTATTAGAGACATGAATGGGTGGTCGTAAAATACTATCAGTATCACAAAAATAATTGATGTACTACAGTAAAAGTGCAGTTACTCTATTGAAATTTTACTCAATAAGTTGTTGTAAAGAGTAAATCAAAAAAAATTTGGGTAAAAATTACTTGTTTTTGTAGGTTTTTTTTACAGCAGGAGGGCATCTTTCTTGTAATGCACACAGAGAAGATTTTGTTTTTAATCATACAAGTTCTTATTTGGCAACACCATGTCCACACATTTAAAATGCTTAGAGAATAATCTGTTATTTCAGTTTAGACCAGCCGACATGCTCAACTTGTTCAATTACAAATCATGTTGAACAAACCACGAAGAAGCCGGTAGAAAAAAACTCAATCAGTCCTGCTCAAGTCTTTGATCAGTCAATCCTTGTGGTTACAATGAAACAGTTCTTACCGTATTTTCTGGCGTATAAATCACACCTTTTTGCATAAATTTGCAAGTCCTCTGACTTATACACGGAAGCAACTAATATACGTATATTTTTCCATATTTATAACCCAGTTTTTGACTGACATTTCAAATGTTCATTCAGACATGAACCAGTAAACATTACCAGTTGCAGCAGCTAGAGGGCCCTCTATGCTTTTATATGTTGTACCTCTACCCCTCTACCTCTGGGACATCAGCGGTGACGCATAAAAAACGCGATGCGTCGGTGATGACTCATAATAAATGCAACTCATATGACGAAGCGACTTATTTATGGTTTGTTTTGTTTGTTTCACTTTATTAGACATTTTTGGACAGATGTGACTTGCACACGGGAGTGACGTATATGGCGGAAAATATGGTGCTCATAGAAATATAAACATAATTTGTTAAACTGTGGATTGTTTGAATATATATATCTATAAATTCAAAAATCTGAATTTCTTTTTACTTT